TGTGTCTGTGAGTCTGTTCTGTTTGTAAATAAGTTCATTTGTGTTCTTTTTTTTTTTTAGATTCCACATGTAAGTGACACCATATGGTATTTTCACAAAGGAATACTTTTAAATGCCTCAATTTGAATTTCTAGCATGGTACCTGATAGGACCTGCATAAACGAAAACTCTTTGGGCCCCTCAGTGATTTTTAAGAATGTCAAGAACGAGTTCTGACCCAAAAAACGTGGGAGAACTTTAGCTCAGCCGATGCTTGTCACTGAGGGAAGCCCCAGCACCCGGCACTAACACAGCTAAAAGGCACCATCGTGTCGTAATTCTTTTGTTGTGGACAATATGTAAATCTTAACATGATCAAAACTAGCACTACAAATCAGATTTTCTTTACTATGAACTTTCTATGTCTTGTAAAATCAATAATTGAGAATTCTGCAGACGTCTCAAAGGGTCCTGGGAGTTTAGAGCAGGCAGCTTACGCTATTAGCAGAAAACACCTGAGGAACATGAGCGCCTTTTGGAGTCCTGTGGGTAACACCTCCTTCCCCACCAGTGTACGTCAGAAGCTGGACGTGCTTATGACAGACAGCAGTATCCAGCTCCACTGTTTGTCTTTGTGTCTTTGGCGCCGCAGGACTGTTGTGTGGGGCTTTCGGGCCACTGGCGGGACGTTGCATGGCAGCCCTAACACACTAGAGCGGGCGTGTGTGTGGGAAACTCCGCACAGTGCTTTCCGCTGACCTACTAACGTGCTGTCCTGCGTTGTCTTTTGCAGCTTTTATCCATGACTCAGGATGACTACAAACCATCTGATGTTAGTATACCCTTAGAATTATCGTTTCTGCGTGTGCAAGTGATGTACAGGTGACATCAGTGGAACTAGCCCCTCTGAGGACATGTTAATGGTCTATAAAATGTCCATATGTTTTGGAATAATGTTTTTGCAGAAATTATATCTGGTTTATTGCTGTTAAAACACTGACTCATATAACATGAGCTCAAGTATAAACATATAAAATGTACTTAAAGTTTTAAAAAGCCACGTTGGAGGGTGTATTTAAAGGCATTTTGCTCTGCAGATATGCCTGTTCCACGAGTCAGAGAGGAAGGCTGCACGCCTGGGGACACGCACGTGTATACTGCGTGTGTACGTTCACACGTATATGCATAAATCAAACATCGTAAAGCCAGAGAGACAGAGGAGGCAAAAAACCAAGAAATCGCACTTAGTGTCCCACATGCAGCATCAGGCAGAGCCCCGTGGGGGTGCCTGGAGCCGGAAGCTTTGCTGAGTCCTGGGGAGCCGCCCTGGGAGGGGGCGGGGCCGGGGGTGTGGGGCAGCGGCGTT